CTTTTAAGAGCCATTTGTTTGGGACTGATCATGTGTTTGTAAACAAAGAAGCAGAAGGTACTATCAGGGAAGAGAACAATGGTATCAGGTCACAACACAACTTTTCAAATCAGATCTTCCCTTAATTGTATACTTAGTACCTCCTTGAACACAGCCACTGCTTTTTGGGTTTCTACAGTATCCAAATCCAGAATGCCCAGCAACATACCTAAGGGAATATAGCATGAACATGCACCCAAGCAGTGAAAGAGATAACAGACAACATGCTTACTTGCACGGAGGGAGGGAGGAAAGGGTGGAGAAAAAGGATTTCAGAGGTGACCAAATCCCCATGAAGATAAGTTTCCTTCTTTAAGGCTAGTCTACAAGGACAGCAACCTTCATAAGCAGTCCACAGCAAGAAATTAAAAAGAAATCAATCTAAAACATAAAGTATTATTATCCTCCAAGATACTTGGTGAATGAAATACGTCCAGACTCATCAGGAATGCTCTCATCATTAGCTCTCTTCCTCTCAAAGAAAATTAAGCCTCTTGATTTCACTCCTCCATAGAGATTCTGCCTTCTAGGAAGAAACAATCAGCTTGAAATCCAGATTGTTCAAAGTGTAAATTCAACCAGTTTCAGTGCTTTCGGTAACAGGCATCACCCTGCCCAAGGACCCTCCAGCAATACCTGTGGTTTTACAATTCTTCTGCTGTTGTGTTTTACTCAAAGACACACTTCCCTTCCATTTCCTGCAAGGAAGGCCTGTAAAGAAGGTGAAACCAACTCTGTAGCAAGCTCAGATGTCTATCACACAAAAAATACTGTTAATCCGCAAACTAAGAGAAGATTCATATTGGCTTCTAGTTACACGTGTTTCTTCCCTCCACAAGTCTTCTCCACAACTAGCATGAGGAGCACAAAATATGCTTTAAAGCAACTTTAGGTGCCTCTCATACTATATTCATTCACATTTATCTCCAGGGAATACAAAAGCTCACTCTCTACTAGGAAATTAACTGCAACCTAATTGTTACAGCTGCTCTTGTCATACAATTTACCTGATCTCCTAACGCAGGGAAGGAGAAACATCATGTATCTGAGGCCAGTGTTGATACTACCAGTGCATATGTCCTTCGCGTATTAAAAAAAATATATACGCCTCAACAACTAGTAACTAACAATATTAAGCCAGCTTTTGAGAAGCAAGCTACATTTGATTTAAAATTCCTCCCAGAGTAGAAAAGACAAGTTGTTGAGAAGCCATACATTTATGTTTGACAAAATAAGAGTTAACTGTGGAAAACATTACATTTTAGAACCACAGTTTAGATCCATCTCAGTTTAGATCCACATTTCACCAGCTTGTAGCTCCTTGCAAAGATCCTTCTCACTTTCACTACTTTATTATGCACATTCTTTCATATTTTCAATCTTTGTTTTCCCTTATTCTCCTTCGACTAAAAAGCTATGAACCTATTAACCTGTATTCTAATACTATAGGAACTACGCTTTGTTTCTTCTTTAAACTCAAATGCTTTCAAATTAATTGTAATTTGATTGCTCAAAAAAGAGACAAACATTAACTTGTTAACTTTTACCAACCTGATTACTGGCCCTCAAAAAAACAGGGAAAACATTTCCTTATTATCTCATGCTTTTGACAGTTTAGGTATAAAGCACTGATCACTTTCCCTTACACTAAACCAGGAGAAAATCATGCTATTATCCATTACTATGTTTGGCCTTTCAAAGTCACGAGCAGGGCCTAACTATCAGAAATTCAAGAAAGAAGCATAATGCTACACTGCATTCCTGGCAGGCCCTTTCGTTTAATTACACAAGCCCTCTTCCTTTAAATAGCACCCAGATACTTCATGGGAAAATGATAACTCGTAGTATTTCAACACTAATATCAGTGTCCAAAGCATCCAACGCAGTACCATATTGTTCTCTTTGACTAACAAAAGTATCAATCCGTTCTTTCTACAGAATTCAAATACCAAAGAAAAGAAAACGTGCTATTACACATCCTTTCAGCCAGCAACAGTTACCATATTTTAGTGGACTAAAAACGTAAGCTTCTAAGCACCTTCAAATTGTCTGGCTTGACGGAGACTAAGAGGTGAGGCGCTGCAAACAAAAAAAAAAAAAAAAGGAAAAAAAAAAGAAACCAAAAACAAAGTTACCAGCGACCACCACCACCACCTCTTTTGTGCTGCTCTCTTCGCACTCGAGCAAACGCAGCCTACTCGGACAATATCCCTAAACGAGAAGATAAAAATACAGCTGGCGCAAGCCCCATCGCAACCTCACCGCTGCAGCAGCACCTCCACGGACCCCGTTAGACGGCCCGCTGCCTCCCTTCCCTTTGTTTTGGTCACTGAGGAGCACCGCTGACCCCTTACTCGCTTTGCCAGCCTTCGCCTCGGAGGGAGCTTCCTCCCCCTCCCCCCAAAGGCCTCCGGGGCCCCCCGCGCCGGAGCGGGGCCCCTCACACCCCCTCCCCGACGGGTG